CGTTGTGACTGGAGGCTCCAACATCATCCTGGGCTCTGGACAGGGCCCTGTGATGGGGTCCTGCTCTGTGTCCAGCTCTGGCTCTGGCTCCAGCTGTCGCACCATCCTGAAGAAGACTGTCGAATCAAGTCTCAAGACATCCATCACATACTGAGTGCAGTGCCAGCCTCTTGCTTTCCTGCCTTCCTGAACATTCTCAGCCCTACCCCCACCCCGTCATCCCATCCCTGCATGGCCAATTGTGTGTCCACTGCCCATAGGGGATGCTGCAAAAATTAATAAAGTCATGTATACCTGCTTTTCTGAGTGCTGGCCTGGTCCTGCCTAGTGATTTGTCTAATTTGTCTGGTATCTGCCCAGTGCATACTGCTCCATCCTCCAGCTACCGAGCCTCATTCTCTTCTCTCTTCCATGGTCTCCAAGCTGAGCTAGGAAAACTCTGGGTTTGGCTTGGCCAGTCTGCATCCTATCCAAGTATTGTCCTTTGAGGGGAGGGGAAAGGTCTGAGGGCCACTGATCAGACCCTAGAGGCTTCACCAAGAGGCACCTGACCTTGTGCTACTCATCTGCCTCTGAGCCTCCAGTTCTCTAGTTTTTCTGTGAAATGAAGCAGCCCCAGTTCTCTCTGGGGATGAGTTTTCCTTCCTTTCTTTACCGTTCCATTCCCTCCCACAAATTGTATTGGGTACAAACCACACTTGAGCCACAGTTCCAAGACTGGGGCTACTCTGGCAAGCAAGACCAAACCATCCTCACTCCTAGTGGGTCTGAAGATATCTGCTTCTCATGTGTCCAGCATAACCCCTCCCACCCATGAGAACCAGGTTTTCCTTCTCAGAGCCCTTGGCTCCAGGGCCAGAGGCCAGCCTCCTGTGGCTAATCCAGACACCATCCTGGGTGGTCAGGCCTTTTTGTGTCTTGTCCCTTCTTCTAATCCCTTCCTCCTGATGCCCTGGCTCCAGCTCTATCTAAGGTGGCCAGGCTGGGTCTTGTCACCTCACCCTCACCTTTCTTCTCTGAGCTTTAATCCTGCCTTCCTCCTGGACAGGGGTGCCCCAGTCAGGTTAATAATTCAGCAGTGATGCTGAGCCACAGCCTTCAGTATGTGATCCAAGGGCATTTTGAGGAGAGGCTGAAGGGCAGGGTCAAAGGTCCCCTGTGGCAACGTGCATCATCTCTGTCACTCCTTCCAGCAATTCAGCTAGGCCTCCAGGCTTGTGCAACCAGCAAAAAAGAAGGTGTGCCATTGCCCAGCCCATTCTCCACAGAAGGCAATCTGTGAAATATTTAGGCTTGTTTAGGTTATATCCTATGATCATCTCACTTCTTATCCCAATCAGCTTATCAGAGGCTTCCTTCCAGCCCCTCAGTATACTCCCTGGTGTACCCTCCATTTCCACTGATGTTTTAGCATCTCTTGTAGCTTGTTCCCTCATTAAGCCTCCAGAATAGGCTCCATTTCTGACTCAAGACAGTCCCCTTCATCATTGTTTCTCCTTTTGCCCAAGTTTGAACCAGACTTTTCTCTTCCTGTAAACCTTCCCGACTCCCTGTGTCTGAATCCACCAGATTCTTCCTGTTCCCAGCACAGCCTGGCTGCTATCCTGGGCTCTGTTTCTATCTGTTCTGGTCTAGGACTCAGCTTCTCCATTAGCCTGGGACCTCTGGTCAGGCTTTTCTCCTGGCTCAGCAGCTCAGCTTGTGCTGGGGCTCTTATGGGGACTTGGGACTGGAACTATGGCCCATCCCTCTTACCTCTTGGCTCTATCCCACCCATGGGCCTGTCTGAGCATGAGACTGGAAGCTTCTCCTCCTTCCCTCTTTTGCAGGAAGCCAGGAGAATGGACATCAGGGCCAGGTGCTACCTCAGCAGTTGTGTTGGCTCTTGCACTGTCCTCCCATCTTCTCCCTCTCCACCTGGGTCAACTCCAGCCTGCCAGAGGTCCCAGACTAATAGAGAGAGGTCAGCTGTTTTTTTCAGATCCATGGGTCTCTCCATCAAAAGTATCCAAGAAAGAGGCTTGTCAGCCCTCTGTGAGGGAGATATGAGTGGGTGAGCGTGAGGCTCTGGAGCTTGGATCCCAGCTCTGCCATTTACTAGTGGTGGAACTTTGACCAAGTTACTTAACCTCTCCCTTCAGTTTCCTCATCTGTGACAAGACATTAATAATACTAACAGGGCAGTGTGGGGATGGTAACATTCAGGATCCCAAGAGCAAACAAATTCACCCAAAATAGTTCAGTTAAATAGGCTTTAATGAAAGGATTATTTACAGAGGTGTGGGTGTGGCTATGGGAAAAAGCATAGGATGCAGAGGTCAGAGGCTGGCAGCACTGGGAAGCCATTGCTACCCCAGAGCTGGGGAAGCTACCATCTGGTTTTCCAGGCCGAGAGGTTTTCTGGGACGTGGGACTGTCGGTGCTAATGCGAGATGGTCCTGGGAAAATCAGGGCCAGGTGGATATCCTGTGGAGAGCTGGAGACACAGGAGGGAGAAGCAGCAACTAGGTGATAGAGTTGGGGAACTGTGGAGAGATCACGTGGAAGGAGACATCTGGTGCAGAAACAGGGAGGGAGGGGGAGGAAATACTGGTCCTCTCTCCCTCCCAGACCTCCCCATGGAGTCTCCCTTTGGCCAATCCAGCTGGAAGCCAGAGAACAAGAGAGCAGCCTACCAGGGTCAGGGAGATTGGTGAGTGGATTTAGGGCAGGTGAGTGGATCTGGAAAGAGGCAAAGGGAGCATACTCAGGATGGAGACGAAAGGTGTTATTACATGGAAAGCGTATAGGCTCCTGTCTGCCCTAAGGTGTGTGCTCAATTAAGGATTGCCTATATAACCACAGAAAGTTCTACCTTTGTAGGGGGCTCCTCAAGGGTGGAGACTGTATTTTCTTCACCCCTGTATCTTTTCCATTGCTCAGCACCCAGCCTGACCCATGTTGGGTGCCCAGTTGTCCCACTTCATTCATTCCATTGCCTCTTGTCTTGTCACAGGGAGGGTCCCTAGACAGGTGATGGATGCTCTCAGAGTGAGTGGCAGCAGGGGGAGGAAACTGCTCCTTGGGCCACGGAGAAGGTATGAGCTTGGATGGCCTGCACGAAAGCGGAGGGGCAGGATAGGAGGAGGCACAGTGGCTCCCACACTGTCTGGGATGGGACTGGTGAGATGTCCTGCTGGGTAGGAGGTAGGCTACGCAGGAAGTAACTGCGAGAGCAGGCCCTGGGTTGCCTGTGTGTCTGTCATCAGCTCCCAACACAAAGCCTGGCACAGAGCACCAGGTAAATATGTGTGGCTGTGCAGGGTGGAATGTGTGTTTGCAGCCCACTCTACTCCCACCATCAGGGCTGCTCCTGACTCAGACAGCTGACATCACTCCTTTCCCCAGGGAGGGAGGCCCCACTCACAACTGTCTTTGCCTCCCACACCCCCATTAGGGAGAGATAAGGGAGGCTGAGAAAGTGATAACAGCCTCAGGGGCAGGAGACAAAGGTTAGGGAAATGACAGCCGGGTTCTGCAATCACAGGCAGGTGCTTTTGGAAAGGACTTCCCTGGCTGGCCCTGCTCACAGCCCTGCTCAGAGGCAAGGAGGCCCAGAGAAGTCAAGAGTTGCCAGAGGACACCCAGCTCAGTGGGGATTCATCTCCCCCTTCCCAATTCCTTCCCCATATGCCTGTTACCCTAGCTCCAAGCAGGGAGGAAAATTAAGGGACTGGATCTGTCAATGGCCCATGTCTTACTGTTCATGGGAGAATATTCAACTTCCTGACGCTGGGAGACATGGCCTGCTCTCCTCCTGCCTCCCTTGGGGGTGGTCCCATGTCCTCTGGGATCCTGGGAACACAGACTGGTGAGAGTCCCAGCTCTAGCCCTGGCAGCTGTGTGAGGAGCCCAGCCAGTGCAATCTTTCTCCTTCCCTCAGGCAAGTCTCTCTCCTTTCTGGGCCCATCCCACTCACCCCTAAGTAGGTGAGAAGAGACAGTCTCTAAAGTCAGCCCCTCAGTACTCTGCCTAGCATTTGACTAGCTTTTCCAAGCTTCCCTGTGGCTGTTGGTCCCAGTAGCCTGAGTTGGTGAAACGAGGAGGGGACTGTGTGAAGGGATTTAAGGACCTCCCTCCCCCTGGCTCCCTCTGAATTAAGCATGGGGCTCCTTCTGGACTGGGAAGATGGGAATGCTGGAGTGCTCCATGGACCTTGTGGGGCTTTTGCTGAATACAGACTTCTTGGATCTGTACCTATGTCCAGCCAGATGGGATGTGTCCTCCACCTGCTCCAGCTCCCTGCAGAGTGGCTGTACCCTTCTGGGAGGCTCTGATGTAAAGCAGAGGGTCGGGGGGTCTCAGATGATAGTCCACTGTTTCACTTTGCCCCCATCACCTTCCCAGCTTTCTGGGCACTGACTGTGGAGCCAGGCCTTTCTATTTCCTGAAGTGCGCAGGCATTGTGGTTGGGCAGGAATCTTCCTGCCCTCCCAACCACTTTGCCCAGCACAGAATCTCCATGCAGCACCCAGCCTGTGGTGTATGATAAGGAAACAGATTGTCCCACGCTCATTCCATCACCTGTGCCCCCCACCCAGACCTGCCAGGGGGCAATGAGGCCGTGGGCTGGGAGGTGGGACTGCAGCAGGGCTGGGCGCTCTCTCCACAACCCATTGCCCAATGCACCTTCATTCACCACCTGCTCAGCCTGGGCCCTGGGGCCTTGGCTTACAACAGGAGCCTGGGATAAACCCCACAGAACAGAGCCCCATTGATAGCGGCCACCAGGGCTGGGTGGGAGGAGACCAAACCAGCCACCGCACGGTGGAGGTGGCTGTGGGAGCCCCTATCATCCTGTTCCAAGGCAGGGGAGCCCCAGGGGGTGGCATCCTGCCCCAGACAGTCTCTGCTCAACCTCAGCTCTGGGGCACCGGTGATAACTGGAAGCAGCCCCTCCTTCCGGCTGGGGGAGAAGGAACTCTCCCGCCCCAGCCCACGGGGCCCCTCCCTCTCCTCCTGGGGCAATGGGGCAGGAGCATCTGTGGAGGTGAGGAGCCGGCCCAGCTGGGAAAAGATAAAAAGCGCATCAGTGGCCCAGCAGCTCACCACACTCCCTCCCAGCTCTCAGCCTGTGCTCTAGCCCCTCTGACAGCCATGAGGTCCTCAATGGCTCGGCGGACGTACACCACCAAAGAGGGCTTCAGCTCCAACTCTGCCAGTGGAGGGGGTGGGCCCAGGGCCCACACCAGCTTCAGCTCTGTCACCATGTCCCGGAGCAGTGGCAGTGGTGGTGGGGCCCGCTGTGGCCCGAGCACAGGCGGCTTTGGCAGCCGGAGCCTCTATAACTTGGGGGGCAGCAAGAGCATCTCCGTCAGTATGGCTGGAGGGGCCTCCTCAGGGCGGGCCCTAGGCGGCTTTGGCCATGGCGGTGGGGCCTTCATGAGCCTGGGGGCTGGAAGGCAGACATTCGGGCCCGTCTGTCCTCCTGGTGGCATCCAGGAGGTCACTGTCAACCAGAGCCTGCTGACCCCACTCAACGTGGAGATTGACCCGGAGATCCAGCGGGTGCGCACCCAGGAGCGGGAGCAGATCAAGACCCTCAACAACAAGTTTGCCTCCTTCATCGACAAGGTGGGCCAAGGGGAAAGGAGGCAGGGAGGGTTCTGCAGGAGGGCCAGGGCCTCTCAGAAAGGTGGGCTGGATGGAGGCCGCTGTAGCTCATGTGCCTTTGGGTGGGGTCGTTGGGATGACTTTTGGAGTCCTAGCCTGAGCCTGGGATGTCCAGACCTGGATGGCTGGAGACAATCCTCAGGCTTTTACTGTAATTGTTCAAGTGAATATCGGGTCTACTCATGCGGCCTATCGGCCAAGCCCACCCTGATGGCTGCAGCCTTTGTGAGCTAAGGTTGTTGTGTCAGAGTATTAACTGTGACCGCAGGAAAGGTTGTCCTAGGGGAAAGCCCCCTTTTGTTTCTCCAAACTCCATGACTGGGGGCATGGAGTTTGATCTGTCCCAGGTTAGAAGTGTCCTGATTCCCTCCCTGGCATCCAGGTGGACTGGGAGGCTCTTGTCCTGTTCGCTGGCATTTCCAGGTCTGTTTTGCTGGTCGTGTCCATCTCCAGCCCGAGCCTCCAGGACCATGATGGGAAAAATCCTGGTGGATGACTGTACCTGGGTTCAGCAATTTGTGGGTTACCAAAGGACATTCATGTTCCTTTCTCATGTGAGACCCTCAGTGTCCCATGAGGAACCACAGAAGGTAACATTGTGTCCATTTTTAAGAAAAGAAAACAGGTTTAGAGAGGTCATGTAATTTTCCCAGGATCATACAGGTACCTGGAGGCAGAGGTTGGCACTAAAAGGGCTCCTACTGCTTATGGCAGGTGCACCTGCCGCATGGTGCTCCCAGGCCACATGACTGTGGGCCTGTGGTGCTGTGGGCGTGGGACCTGGAGAGACTGGAGATCAGAGAGTGAAGCAAGCCATTCCACCCACCTTCCTCACCTTCTGCCCTAGTGACTTTTGGCTCTTCTATAGGACTATCCCAGAGGCTAACGAAGCAGAAACCCCTTTCAGGCTCTCAGAATCATGGTCTGAGAGCTGGGGGCCAAGAGGTTGTTTGTGTCTGGTGTCTGAGAACCCTAGCTCTGCAGAGAACCCCCCTGGGGCCTGTTAAACCCTTGCCATGAGCCCCCTTCTGAGTCTTTAGAGATAGGACTGGGCACTGCTATTTAAATTTTTTTTTTTAAAGTCTCATTTACAGAAAAGTTGCAGGAAGAGTACAACATTTTCTTTTATACTCTCAGCCAGATTTATCAATTAAAATGTTTTTGTCACATTAGCTTTTTCTCATTTTTAATGTGTGTGTATATATAATCATAAATATATACATATATAGTTGTCTATATGTATATACACACATATATATGCATTTATATTTAAAAATATTTTTTATTGATTTCAGAGAGGAAGGGAGAGGGAGAGAGAGATAGAAACATCAGTGATGAGTGAGAATCATCGGTTGGCTGCCTCTTGCACTGGGGACCAAGCCCACAACCTGGGCATGTGCCCTTGACTGGAATTGAACCCAGAACCCTTCAGTCGGCAGGCTGACACTCTATCCACTGAGCCAAACCAGCTAGAGCACACTCATATTTTTAACAGTTGATTTTGATGTAGAATTGGGTTAAAAAAACATTGATCTAATCCAATTTATCCAGGACAAATGAGGAAGGGAAACCCAGAGAAGAGTGACTTGACTGTCTCTAAGTAATAAATGTCTGAGCTGGGGCTTGCATGCTTATTAACTCTTTAGAGCCCTTGTCATCAGGACCATCTTTTCCAGCAAAGACTGCTCCCTCAGGAACTCCTCCCTCCAGCAAGGTGTGGGCCTGCACTGCCCCTGTGATGTCTTGGTTGTGGACAGATGGTGGTGAGGAGCCTCATCCTCAGTCCCTCCTGGGGAAAGGGGATGGTGCCAGCCCACCACTCTTCTTGCTCTGGCTCAGGTGCGATTCCTGGAGCAGCAGAATAAGGTGTTGGAGACCAAGTGGGCACTGCTACAGGAGCAGGGCCAGAACAAGGGCATCACCAGGAACAACCTGGAGCCCCTGTTTGAGACCTACCTGGGCAGCCTGCGCAGGCAACTGGACAACCTCCTGAACGAGCGGGGCAGGCTGGACTTGGAGTTCAGGAACGTGCAGGATCTCGTCGAGGACTTCAAGAACAAGTAAGGAGGGTTGGGAAGGCTGGGATGATGTGGGGAGGGGCGGGGGCATATGGAAATCTCCACAGAGAGAACCATCTCATCTGCAGGATCCTGGGGCCTACGTGGGAGATACACAGACAGAGCTGCTTCCCTCGGTGCTCAGACACCGGACCCATAGTCTCCTGGAGAATTGTCACACTTGTCAATAATTTTGAAAAGTCTTTATTATAAGGTGGGGAGCATAGTGTAATGAACTTATATGTTCTCAATACCCTGCTTTAATAATTATCAACAGCCAATCTTGCTTCATCTATATCCCTACTTACTTTCTTTCCTCCCTTATTGTCTTAAGCAAATTCCAGCCATCATATAATTTAATTCACAATTTTTTTTTTTTACTGGATATGTTCATATAGTTCATCTTCATGGCTGGAGTTAGCAAACATAAACACAATGCCATAATCACACCTAAAACTTTTAAAACAGTAATTCCTCAATTTCATCAAATAGTCAGTTAATTTTGATTTTCTAATTGTCCCATTACAGTAATAGTATTTAAAAGTACAGTTTGTTTGAATTGAGATCTAAATAAGGCTCACATGTTATGGAAGGCAGCTATGCTCACCACTATACCACCAACGTGGACAAGGCTCACATCTTATGAATGGTCAATATGTATATTTATAATTTTAAGGCCTACTTTTTCATAAATTTTCCAACAATTTGACCTGAGTTGTTGGAAACCTTAAAGTCTCAGCAAAAGCATTTGGAGAGAAGTTAGTTGTTTGAAATGCCATCCTGTTGACACATCACCACCTGTTCCTATAAAGCCTCCTAAGGGCTCTGATACAAAGATATGACTTCTCTTAACTGGGGTAGTATCGCACAAATTCTGTGCCATTTCCTCAACAGACACAAGGAGGAATAAAGTCTGCATCCCGTTTCTTCACCGGTTGGCTGAAGAACTGCTTCCCAAAGGTGTTCTTGGCCAGTAGGGGACCCATCAAGGCTTCCTTAAAGCCAAGAGGGTCCAGTATCTTAAAAGGTACATCATGGGTAAGCCTGGACTGAATCTTGTCTGTGTAACAGGTATGAAGATGAAATCAACAAGCGCACTGCTGCCGAGAACGAGTTTGTGGTGCTCAAGAAGGTGAGCAGGGTGACAGGGAGTGGGGGAGGGTGGTCCCTTGGCTGCCAGACTGCTGGCTGATGCGGAGAGAGGACTGAGCCTGGGGACTGAGCCATCTACCCTGTTCTCTCCCTCATCCCTAGGATGTGGATGCTGCATACATGGGCCGGATGGATCTACACGGCAAAGTGGGCACCTTGACCGAGGAGCTCGATTTCCTGAATACTCTCTATGAAATGGTGAGCTGGCCAGTGGACAGGAATCGTTACATACAGCACGGGGGATCCCTCCAGAGGACTGATCTGAATTCACCAGTGCCATTTAGTTGATAGAAGATAAACCTGGACCTTTGACTAATACTAGCTTCCATTTATTAAGTGCTTAAATGGGCCAGGTACTGGGCTAAGCGCTCAACAACTCTGTAGGTACTATTGTCTCCATTGTATAGTCAGGGACACTGAGGTTCAGAGCAACTTGCTTATGGTCACATAGCTAGTTAGAGGCAGTGCTGGAATTAAAATCTAGTTCTCTAACTTCAAACTCTGACTCTTGCTACTGTGTTATACTATGTCCCCTTTCTTGCCCAATTTGTAGTAGAGCAAGGGATGGAGGAGCAGAGATTGGCAGAGCTGAGATGGGGACTGACATTCCAGATTGGAGCAGGAGATGAGGTGTGGGTGGTGTGGTTCCAGGAAACAAAGGGAATTTGAAGACTTGGGTGAGAGGGTTGAACTTAACATGAGTTCATTCTAGAATGTAGGGACCTCAAGGTAAGCCTTCCACTCATTTTAAAGCACTTTCTCTAATTTCCCTGATGGGATCATGTAGACTCCACTTCTATATATATTTATTTTGGGCCAGGCATTTCCATTTCAGAACAACTTTGTTAGAAAGCTGACTTGAATTGTCTTCTCATGGCTTCTGCTCTTGATAAACCCCGATTCTGCTCATGGCTGCACATATCTAATTACCTTCCCTGTGACATTTTTTCATATGACAACCCTTTAGAGGTCAGGATGATTAGGGAATTGAAATCTGTGGTATGTGCAGAAATTTAGGAAAGAAGGTTCTGAATCCAAAATTCAGAAAACAGAGGGAGGGAGGCTACAGACACAGACTTCTATTTATGCAACCTAATATTGTACTAACTTATGTGTTCTTTAAAAAACCATCTCACCATGTTTGCTCCCTTAAAATCTTCCTGGATTTTTTCCACATCAATGCTTTCAGGGGAGACAGGCAACCACTGTCCTCCAGCTTCCTGTATTTGGGAAGCTGAATTTTTTAAACTGAATGCAAGAGCTAATGATTCCCCCTTTTTCTTGTGAAATGTTATTGAGGTTTTATCCCATTGTTGCAGGTCATTGTGGGCACATTGAAACTGGATTTTCCTCTCCATGTATTGGAGATGCCCAATTGGATATATTAGTGATGCATCAGCTTTAGGTTATCTGCAGGCTTGATAAACTTTCAATTTAGTTGTTTGATGATATTTCAGTACAAATTATTGATGATCAAATTAAGGAAGACCGAGTGAGAATCCTGGTCTTATTGTTGCAGGTCATTGTGAGACAGAGTCCTAGTCTCAGGACTAGATCTTCAGTGGTGCCTTCCCACTAGGAAGGGCATTGAGTGTGTTGGAGAATAAGGTGAAGAGGTGGACAGGGAAGGTGAACTGGGGACCAAGCTGGTGTCACTTTCTGTCAAAGTTCCTCATTGTCTGTCTGCACCTTCTTTTGAGGGTGGGGGTTGGGTAAGAATGAAGGCCAGAGAAATCATTTTCTTTTTGCCTCGTGGGCAAATCAACTGTGATTGCCACTGTGGCACTTGGTAATGGATTTTATAGTCTGTTTTCCACAGCCAGATTTTAGGGAAATCTGGAGATCCAACCACCAATTTCTGGCAACCACCAATGTCTTACGGGGCAGGGAAGGAGCCTTATGACCTCCCTCTGGTCTGGGAACATCCCTTGGGTTCCAGGCCCTGCTCCAGTGCCATCACTTTAGCCTCATCTTACTCTCTACCCACTCTTTCCTTCAGGCTCCCTGGTGTCTAAGAAGGCACATGCCTTTTGATCCATAAGGCTCTTTCCCCTCTACTTGCATTGGCTCCATTTCTTTGGAAAGCCTGAACTTTTTGTCCCATGGTTCTGACAAGACCGCCTCCATTCACTCATGGGAACCTACAAATCCACAAAGATAAATGTTGTTTACTAAAATTAGAGCTCCATTTCACAGTTGGAGAGACTGAGGCCATTCTTGCAGTTGTAGCCTGGCCTGATGCCACTTGGATCCCTGTCTTTCATCCTTTGGCTATTTCCTGAGGGCCTGGTGGCAGCTAATTTTGTTTCGGCAGGAACTGAGCCAAGTGCAGACCAATGTTTCTGACACCAATGTCATCCTCTCCATGGACAATAACCGTAAACTTGACCTGGACAGCATCATTGCTGAGGTGAAGGCCCAGTATGAGCTGATTGCCCAGAGGAGCAGGGCTGAGGCTGAGGCCTGGTACCAGACCCAGGTGAGGAGAATGGCTGGCTTAAATATGTGAGCTGGGATTGGACCTTCCTCCACTGGGAGAGGCCTGGGCCACTGGGCTCCTTGTAGGTCTGTGGTCAGACACCTCCAGCTATGAGGGTGGGCCAGTGGTTACCCATGTGGGTCTGGAGCTATCTGACAGCTCACTGCCACTTCTTTGTCTTTTAGTATGAGGAGTTGCAGGTGACGGCTGGGAAGCATGGGGACAATCTGCGGGACACCAAGAATGAAATTGCTGAACTCACCCGCACTGTCCAGAGGCTGCAGAGTGAGGCAGATGCAGCCAAGAAGCAGGTAAACCTCTGGTTGGGGGTCTGAGGGCCTGGCTCAGGTATTGGTGGAGGTGGAGTGGCCTTCTTACTGTCATTCTGAGATGTGAGATCTGCTCTTCTCCTCATGGACGGGGCACAAATGCAGAACCATCAAGATCAACACACTCATTATATGAGAGAGGAAACTGAAGCCCAGAGGCAGAAAGGGATTATCCAAGGTCATAGCATATTAGTGGTAGAGGAGGTGGGATGAACTCCTTTAAGGAGATTGACCCCATCTCCAGGAGATCAGAGAAACCCAGGATTCAAGGGTCCAGATCATAACTGCTGAGTCCATCTAGGGTATGGCTGAAAAGTTTGGGCTCATACCTAGATCAGAGTGAAGCATCTGGTTGTATTATTTATTTTATCTCTTTTGGGGCACTGGTCTTACATGATCCTATTTGTGTAATAGCATCTCCTCTTTCAGATGAATACTTTTAATTTTCTTCTTTTCCAGTTGGTTGTGGTGGGAGCAGGTGGGGGATGAGGATGCCTGGCTTAAGGGCAGAGAGATGGGTATGATAACCTTGAAGAAAATCCTCAACACCTCTCATTCCCTGGGCAGTGCCAGCAACTGCAGACTGCCATCGCAGACGCAGAGCAGCGTGGGGGTTTGGCATTAAAGGATGCTCAGAAGAAGCTTGGGGACCTGGATTCGGCTCTGCATCAGGCCAAGGAAGACCTGGCTCGGCTGCTGCGTGACTACCAGGCCCTCATGAACGTCAAGCTTGCCCTGGACGTGGAGATCGCCACCTACCGCAAGCTGCTGGAGAGCGAGGAGAGCAGGTGGTGATCCCTCCTGCCTGATTCTGAGGGCTTCCCAGCCCTGCCTTGTTGGGGAGGGGAGGGGTTGAGGGGACTGTGTAGTTGGCTCTGCTGGGGCCCATAGATAAGGGAGGAACTAGGGAGCTCCCAACTCATCACCTGAGGGAGACACTCCACTTGTATTTGCTGCCTCTGCTGCACATCCCCTCAGTAATCCTTATGGTGGTTGGTAGGCTAAGAGGAGTGAGACCTCTTCTTCCAACACTAGATTCTATCATCAGTGGAAGCTTTGAAAAAGATCCATTTTCTCTGTCTTTGGGGAAGGCCTGAGATGTAGAGTCAGTCACTTTAGCCAGAAACTAGGCAGTTCTGTTTGGGCTTTGTCTTTCCTCCCTCAGAGCAGGGATGCTGACCCTGGCCTCCATGGGGAGGTTTGAGAAGGTGGTGGCATGGTCTGTTGGGCTCTTCTCTGCTATACTGGCTTTAGCACCTGCAGAAGGGTCCCAGGTCCAGATGACCACATGCACACTCTTCTCATATCTCCTGGTCTTGGTTTCTGAGAGTTGTCCACCTGAATCGAATCACTGAAAAGGCAGATAGAGGGAGGAGAGGGCTTTTGCTCAGGCTTCCAGAACTGCTGACCCTTTTCCTGGCATTTCTGTTTCCCCCAGGATGTCTGGAGAATGTCCCAGTGCTGTCAGCATTTGTGAGTATTTTGCTGCCCTGCCCCAGGCCGGCCCCTGTCCTCTGCTCAGTCCACTCAATCTGTCCTTGGCCAAAAGCACACATCCCCTCCATTTGAGCCACTGGAGACAGGTTTAATGGGTCCCCAGAAAATGAACTTCCTGCCCCAGCTCTCCATCCATTTCTTATGGCTTCACTGCCTAATTTTGTTCCTGCCCCTCACTGATTTCTGAAAGTCCCTGGCCCTCTCTCAGCATGGTTGCTCTTTCTCATCCAAATCTTTTGCTTTGCAGCGATGACTGGCAACTCTACCACTGTGTGCGGAGGTGGTGCAGCCGGCTTTGGGGGTGGCATCTCTCTGGGCGGGAGTGGAGGTGCCAGCAAGGGTGGTTTCAGCACCAATATAGGCTACGGCACCGTCAAGGGAGGTCCCGTTTCTGGGGGCACCTCCATCCTGAGGAAGACCACCACAGTCAAGACATCCAGCCGGAGGTATTAGCTGCTGAACCTTGCAAGCTGGGCCCTGTAGTCTTTTCCCCACACCACTTACCTACCTCTGCTCTCCCCACCTGCCTCCTTAGGAACAGCCCAAAGACCACAGATTCAGTGTATTTGCATGTCACACTATGCATGTGATCTGCATTTTGGGAAGGGCTCAACTCTACCCAGGTTTCTCCTTTGTTCTGGATGGGATAGAAGGCGAGGTTAAGGCCACCAGCTTGAGTGATGTTTTTGGGTGATTTGGGGTTACCATTTGACCACTGAGAGGAGACTGAATTTCCCAGGCCATCTTGATTTTCACACCTCTGAACATCTGGTCTGAGCTTAGGAAAGGCTAGGGGAGGAGGAAGGGAAGCCAGGAGTGGTCCCCAAATACCCTTCAACCTCCCCAGTCTCCCACCAAACCCACTCACTCCATGAATCTACCCACAGCCCCCTTCACTGTCTGTGCCTGTGATGTATCTCAATAAATGGCAACTTCAGCTAGCTTATTGTCTGTGGCTCTAGTCTGTCCTGTCTGGGGAGTTGAAATTGTCAATTGATTAACTCTACAATGATTGAGGCAGCAATAACCACATGCTCACTATTCTCCAGTCATCTGAAAGCGCACAAGCGCAATGCTATCAGCACTCTTGGCTTTGGCTCATTCTCTCTCCCTTGTAGAGCTCATAGAAGGCTGGAGGGGTAGAAGAAACCAAGATGGCGGTATAGGTAAACAACTGGTCTGCCGCCTTGCACAACAATTTAAAAATTAAAACTAATATAAAGGACATCTATCACCCAAAACCACAGGAAGGCTGGCTGAAAGAGAAAGGAGTGCAAGCGCTGAAAAGCTGAGGAGCCTAAGTACAGAGGCACATGAATTGGGCTGGGGGAGGGCCACTGGGCTCGTGGCTTTTTTTTCAACCTGAAGGGAAACAAGCTCCCGATCACTTTGAAATCCAGTTTCTGAGTTCACGTGGGGGACCCAGATGCCTACGGGGAGAAGCTGGTCTATGGGCCATCAGGTCCGAAAGTAGGGTGACTATCTTGCAGAGGTGCGTGCAGCAATCATTTTTTACTGCACTGGATAGCAGGGAAGCGGGGACTTGGAAACATGGAAGGGCAGGGAAGGCTGTCCGCAGCCATCGCTGTTAGCCACATCCCAACCTAGTGATGTCCTGAGACCCCGCCCCACCCTGAAGCTCTGCCCCGCCTTGAGGCCCCACCCTGATGCCCCGCCCACACATTCTACAGACCTGCCCAGGTACCACACAGCTGCTTTTGCATATAAATGGCCTGTATTGTGGCAGCTTAATGATATAAACTGCAGCTTCAGCAACAAAACCACCAAGTCCCTGGCAAACAGGAGAAAACTGTAGTTCTTGCAGTAGCTCCTACAGGGTGGCCTCAGATAGTAGCTGAACTGCATCCCATTGGAGATGTTCCTAGTAGCCAGTGTTCCAAATAGTCAATTTCAACCACTCACACCCATAAATGACATATTCGGGAGACGAACTTAGTGAGCACCAAAGCCTTACTGAAACAAAGCGTGTCTCCAGCGCAGCAGTTCTTCCTTTATAGACACAGCAGATCCTCACAGACAATTGGCCTGGAGGTCAATTCCTCCCAGTGTATCAACAGCAATCAAGGCTTAATTACACCAAGACTTTGCACTCAGCCCACAAAGGGATATACCAAAAGCGACCACCTCAGGTGATTGGGGAAGCTGAACTACTGGCCCCTATAGGTCACTTATCACACAAAGCCACTCCATAAACACAGGGAGGCAGCCAAAATGAGGAAACCTAGAAACATGTCATGAATGGGAGAGATGGAGGAAAGTAAACTACTGGATGACACAGAGTTCAGAATCACATTTATAAGACTACTCAAGAATCTTCTAAAAACCTTTGAGAAACTTTATGAGACCTCCGAGAAGCTTTGTGAGACCTTCAAGGACCTTAATGAGAATACAAAAAAAAAAAAAAAAAAAAAAAAAGGAAGAGGACCAGTCAGAAATTAAGCACACAATGTCTGAAATAAAGAATATACAGAAACTTGACTATAGATCAATGTACCTCAAGAATCAAACCAAAGATCTGGAATATAAGGAAGAAAAAATCACCCAACTAGAGGGGCAGAAAGAAAGAATAATCCAAAAGTGTGAGGATAGTGTAAGGGGCTACAGGATAGCTTAAAGTGTACGTACCAACATCTGGATTTTTGGGGTGCAAGGAGAGAGCAAGCAGGATATTGAAGACCTATTGAAAGAAATAATGACAGAAAATTTTCCCTTCCATGGTAAAAGAAATACTTACAAGTTCAGGAAGCGCACAGAACCCCAAACAAGAGGAATCCAAAGAGGATGACATCAAGACACATCATAATTAAAGTGCCAAGGGCAAAAGACAAAGAAAGAATCTTACAAGCAGCAAGAGAAAAACAGCTAGTTACCTACAAGGGAGTACCCATAGAATTGTCAGCTGATTTCTCAACAGAAACTATGCAGTCCAGAAGGGAGTGGCAAGAAATATTCAAAATGATGAACAGCAAGAACCTACAACCAAGATTACTCTAACCAGCAAAGCTATCATTCAGAATTGAAGGTCAGATAAAGAGCTTCATAGACAAGAAAAAGTTAAAGGGGTTCATCACCATCAAACCAGGATTACAGGAAATGCTGAAGGGTATTCTTTAAGAAGAGGAGGAAGAAGAAAAAGCTAAAGGTAAAAATTATGAACAACAAAAAGACATAAAATACATACCTACCAACAAGTGAATCTAAAAATCAAGTGAATAAAAAATCTGAAGAAGACAATGGACTGGTGATTATAATAGAATCAGGGACATAGAAAGGGATTGAACTAACAATTCTCAGGGGGGAAGGAAGCCTAAGGGATGTGGGAAGAGATTGGACAAAAATCTTACACCTATGGATGAAGACAGTGGCAGGGATAAGGGATAGGGTGGACTTGGGAATCAGGTGGAGGGAAGCTATGGAGGAGGAGCGGGGGAGAGAGGAACACCTGTAATAATCTTAACAATAAAGATTTATTATTTTTTTTTTAAAAGAAGAAGGCTGGAGGGAATATGTAAGTTGCTCAAGGCAGGACCCAGGTACTGAGCAGCAACCTATCACCCAGCCCCTCCCCTGATGCTATTGAGTCCTTCGCCAACTCTGAGGGGGTAGGTAGCATGATTGTTTAGTGGAGAGATCTTGAGCTTCAGAACTATATAGATTTGGGTTTAAATCCCAACTCTGCCACTTACTAGCAGTGTGACCTTGTGTTAGTTACTTAACCTCTCTCAGTGCCAGTTTCCTCCTTTGTAAAAGCAGGTGTGATGAGAACATGTGTAAAGCCCCTGGCTTATGAAGAACTAAACAAGAATTGCTTCTCTTTGCTTTCCTTCTCCCTGGATTCTGGTTTCCCAGCTCATCATCTTGGAGTCATCATCTTTCTCTTAGAAGTTTTTTCTTCTAGTCATCAATAAAAATTCACATTTTTCTGTCAACAGCAGAATACACATTCTTCTCAATGGTACATGAAACATTTTCTAGGATAGATCATATGTTAGGCCACAAAACAAGTTTTAGCAAATTTAAGAAGATTGAAATCATACTGCATATGTATGCTGACCATAATAGTTCAAAATTAGAAATCAATAATAGAAGGGAAATTGGAAAGTTCATGAATGCATGAAAACTAAATAGCACTCTCTTGAACAACCAATGCACCAGAAAAGAAATTAAGGGGAAAACTGGAGTTTCTTGAGACAAATGAAATGGAAACACACACATCAAAACCTATGAGATGCAAAAAAGCAATTCTAAGAGGAAAGTTCCTAGTTATAAACACGTGCATCAAGAAAATAGAAAGATTGCAAATAAACAACCTAACTTTACACCACAAGGGACTACAAAAAGAATAAACTAAGTAAAAATTTAGCAGAAGGAAATAAATAATAAAGATTAGAACAAAAATAAGTTAAATAGAGAATAGAAAAGCAATAGAAAAGGTTAACAAAACTAAGAGTTGGTTCTTTGAAAAGAATAAAAATGACAATATTTAGATAGACTTAACAAAAAAGAAAAAAAAAAGAAAAAAAAAGAAAGAGGCCCAAATCAACAATATTATAAGGAAAAGAGGAGACATTACCACTGATACCACAGAAGCACAAAAGAGCATAAGAGGCTACTATGAATAGTGTGTGACAACAAACTGGACAACCTAGAAGAAATGGATAAATTCCTAGAAACACACAACCTACCAAGACTGAATCAGGAAGAAATAGAAAATCTGAACAGACCTATTATTACAAAGGAGATTGAATCAGTAATAAAAAATCTCCCAAAAAGAAAAACTACAGGTCAGTATTCTGATGAATATTGAGGCAAAAATTCTCAAGAAAATACTAGCAAACCAAATTCAGCAACATGTTAAAAGGACCATACACCAAGCTCAAGTGGGATTTCTTTCTGAGATGCAGGTTGATTCAATAAACACAAATCAGTAAATATGATACATCATATTAATAAAAATGAAAGAAAAAGAACATTATAATCTCAATAGACACAGAAAAGAAATTGACAAAATTCAACATCTGTTCATGATAAAAACTTGCAACAAACTAGGTATAGAAGGAACTGTCCCTCAACTTAGTAAAGAAGGGTGCTTTCAGGGGTTGTAGATGGCTCACAGAGCCCTCCTGTGCACCAAGTAGAGCATCTGTCCGTGTATCTGTCTTACAAGTGGGACTAGGCATTTTTGAGGGCAAGAATGACTTTGCTGCAAAACATGTTGAGTAGCCCCTGCTTGCACATGCTCATTGTGGATGACAGGAGAGGCAGCTCTCTACCCCTGGGAAGGGGGATGGACCCTGTGCATAGACTCCCCCCTCCCCCCCCTTACCCCCATTTCCTGATGCTAAGGAGTCCCCACCCTCCCATTATCCTCACTGGTTTCTTCCCAAAATGCTGACTAGGTCTTCGCTGTGGTATCTGATCCCCAAGTTGGCTGTGGCTCCACACAGAGTGACTCAGACACAGTGGGGCTGCCAAGGCCAAGGCCAGGTGATGGTGACCAAACCGGTGAGGGCCCAGGCCTGGCCAGGGTGGGTGGGGTGCTTTGCAACACCACACATCAGGTTTGGGGCTGAGAGTGAAAGACTTCAGGATTCCCATAATCCCAGGGCTGAAAGCGAGGCTTGCCTCCCTCACCGAGAGTCGTGAGCAAACATACCCGCCTGCCCCTGCTCCACACCCCTGTCAGCTGCTCATCCCTCTTGACAGGGTTTGGATTAGTTGCCAGATGAGGAAGGGTCATGGAGGACAATAGCAGACACGGTGGGGGTGGGGTGGGGACCAGCTTTCAGCCGTTGCTGCCAGGTAGAGTCATGTAGCCCAACGCCTTGCCTCTGGCCCAGGTAGCAGGAGGCATCTCTCCCGTTCTCAGGGAAGTAAACTCTCTTTACCTCTCTCACTCTAGGGTAAATGCTCCTTCTATAAGAAGCTCTTCCTTTGATCTAACTTAGGTTTCTCATGCTATAGTTTTAGGACTTAGGGAACTTTGGCAATTCTGATTTAATAATAATGCTACAGAATATAGCTCTAGACTAGAACTTCCTTCCTGTTTGGTTTGGGTTTATTATAAGATTTGTAATTAAGTTAATTTGGATTAAGTTAATTGGAGGACACAGAATGGCCCCTCCAGACAGTGTCATACCTTATTGAATACTTGTAAGATCAGGTCCACATAAACCAAACAATCAATCACGTGACAAGAGCAAGGACAGAAGGAGCAGAGATACCTCTGTGGAAAATGCAGTGTGCTGCCCAAGACCCAGCTGCTGCCCTGATGGGCCATAAGTGATGGGTCTGTATAAGTTGCAATATAATCTCCCTCCCCAAAGTCTCTGTGAGAGACAGTCACCGATATAAGCATTGTGGTGTAGAGGTCAAGGTTACAAGCTTGAAGTTAGACAGGATTGGCCTCCGACTGCCACCACTTCCTAGCTGTGTGTTCTCAGGCACAATATGCAACCTTTCTGAGTCTCAATGTCCGTAGCCCTAAACTGAGCACAGCAACACCTCTTTTGCATGGTTGTGAGGAATGGAAGTGTAATAAGAAAAGCACCCAGTGTCCAGTACACAGTGGCAGTTTTAAATGGGAATCCTTACATTAAAACAAAAAGCTTCTGCACAGCAAAAGAAACCATCAAAAAATGAAATGGGAGCCTACTGTACAGGAGAACATATTTGGCAATGACACATCTAATAAAGGGTTAACCCCCAAAACATGTAAGGAATTTATGTAACTTAACAGAAGAATGACAATCCAATAAAAAAAAATGGGCAAAGGACCTAAATAGACACTTCTCCAAAGAGGACATTCATATGGCCAAGAGACACATGAAAAAATGCTCAAAGTCAGTGATCATCAGAGTTGCAAATTAAAATGACAGTGAGGTTATCACCTCACACTTGTCAGAATGGCTACCATCAACAAATCAACAAATGAAAAGTACTGGTGAGAATGTAGAGAAAAGGGAACCCTAGAACACAGACTGGTATCGTCATTATGTCATTATGGAAAACAGTATGGAGTTTCCTCAAAAAATTAAATATGGAACTGCCATTTGATCCACTGATGCCACTGCTAGGAATATATCCTAAGAAACCCAAAGCACAAATCAGAAAGAATGTATGCACCCCTATGTTCATAGCAGCACAATTTATAATAGCTAAGCTATGGAAACAGCCTAAATGCCCACAAGTAGATAAATGGATAAAGGAGCCATGGGCCAGACTGTTGGACCTCAAAGAGAAGGTGGGGATAAAAAGGAGAGATCAACCAAAGGACTTACATGCATACATATGAGCCTAACCAGTGGTCAAGGACAATAGAGGGGTTTGGGGCATGAGTAGGGAGGGGTGGGGGATTGGAATGGGGGTTTGAGGACAAATATGTGATACCTTAATCAATAAAGAAATAAAAAAAAAGAAAAAAGCAAGAAAAAAGCCGTAGTACATTTATACCATGGACTACTATGCAGCAGTAAAAAAGAAGAATCTCTTACCTTTTGAGACAGCATAGAGTGACCTGGAGAATATCAAGCTAAGTGAAATAAGCAAGTCAGGGAAAGACAAGTATCACATGATCTCACTCATATGTGGAATCTAAGTAACAAAATAAACTGATGAATACTTGGAAAAAAAACTGTGGAAACATGGAACAGAGTGTGGAATCTTGGAGGGAAGGTGGGAGAGAGTGGGTGGGTGGGAGGTAATCAACCAAGGACTCTGTATGCATATACCAGTATGTATGACCCATGGACACAGACAATGGGGCGGGGATCGGGGTGGGCTGGAGGGAGTCAATGAGGGGAAAAAGAGTCATATGTAACACTTTCAACAATAAAGAATTATTAAAAAAAAAATAAATAAGAGTTCCTTTTACCTGAAAACCACTGTGGCTTTTTCCTCATCTTACTTTTTATTTAAGAGATGATGTATAACTCAATTTAGAGTTATCTTCATGGGAAATACCTCAATCTTTGCTCATGGTTTGGGTTCCCCACAAACACAAAATAAGATTGGTTGTATATTATATATTATTTCCCCCCAAATCCCTTCCTGACTGCTGCTTTTTGTTTGGGGCACTAGACATGAGTAGATACAACTCTAGGTACAACACACATCATTTCTCCTAATGATGGAGTGTCACTGCCACAGACTAAGCGACACAAGCGACATGTCTTAAGGCCTTATCTTTGCAGACGCAACTCTTCCTCTTAGCCAGGAGTGGGGAATGTCTGGCCCAAGAAAACCGTAAAAGGCCTAAAAAATCATTTGGTCTGGCCCTTCCAAGATATTAGGGGTGAGTTAATTAAACATTTGACCAAATACAGCAGGCTAATTTTTAAGTTGATAATTTTGTATGGCCTGTGAATGATGTTATAAATACTCACATGACTTTTGGCAGAAAGATGGTTCCCCACCCCTGTTAGCTTATAAATGTCCTTGACAATCCTCCAGGGACAGCCAGGAGAATAGAGCCGTGAGACAGAAGAGCAAAGATCCAGATGAGGTAGCGAGGGGTCTGAGCCCCTGGGCCCTCTCTCAGGCTATGATTCTGATGACCTTCCTACCTCTTCTTAGAGCAGGAAACCAGACAATCAGACTCAGCTCCAAGGGGTAGCACCAGGTCTCCTCTGCTCCTGCAGCAGCAGCCCCAGAGACCTGAAGTGGCTCTACCTTCTTTACCATCAGTCAGGGTAGAAATCAGTAGACTCTTTGATGCTGGGCCCTTAGAGGCCCTTGGCCTGATCAATCTGTTCAATTAGGTTTGTTCATTGCTCAATTCTGGATTGGCTGCTGCATACATCAGACAAACTGACTTCATATCATCAGGATGGTATGGGAGAGAGGCCAGGGAATGCAGAGATTTTGGGACCAGACTAATGTGGGTCCAAGTCCTGGCTCCACACATGCTCTTGTGTGACCCTGGGGCTCCTTTACCTGCCTTGGGCTTCCAGGCCATAATTTGAAGACAGGGCTAAAAATATTGACGACATAGTGCTTGAGAAAGATTAAATAGTCACCTGTTCATAAAGTATCCCACACAGTGCCTGGCACAATGTTGACACTCACTAAATACTCATTAAAGGGATGAGGAATGTTCAACCCCATCCCTTATAGGAGATGGTCCTGGCTCTAGAATGCTCACTTACTACAGGTGGATGGACCATCCCTTGGGCTTTCTCCCACAGACCTCGGATGGGGCCCTGCTTCCTGTCTTCACTGCCACAGCTCTTCCGCCCACTCTTCATTCACTCAGAGGCCACCTGGGCAAAGGCTGGGGTAGGTGGGCCAGAGAGAGGGTGCAAATCAGAGGTAGAGGCAAGAGGTGGGGAGAGTGGGAGTGAGAAGAGGAGAGGCTGGCAGAGGGGAGAGATTTCCCAGCCAGTCCAGCCTTCCCTGCACTCCTGTCCCCAAAGCCTGGATCCCTTGACCCACCTCTTCTCACCCCTCGGGTCCTGCTCTCTCTCTTCGCATGAAAGGAGCTGTGCATTTTTGCTGTAATCAGCTTTCATTCAGTCAAAGTCAGCTCAGGTCTGGGGGAAATATCCAGGCCCTGATCACTGCTGCTCCCTAGATTTGGACTAGCAGTGTCATGAGGAATTGAGAAGAGGAGAGCGGTACAGACCTAGCTAATGTCTCCTCATGAGTGGCAATGGCGAAACCCAGGCAGGAAAAGAAGGAATGCTTACTGACCTACTAAGTGCCAGGCACTATAAGTATGTTGTCTTATTATCTACGAGGCAGGTTTCCCATTTTATGAATGAGAGGATGGGTTGAAGTGGTTCAGAGGGTTAGTTGACCTGCTCACGACTGCACACCTAGTTAGTGGCAACAGGTGGGATTTGAACATAGGGCTGCTTGTTGCACTCAGTGGGGAAAAATTTAAGTTAGGGCTTAAAAGTTGTTTTTTTTTTGTATTTAGAAACACTGCTTTAAGAAGGAGGTCATGTTTCATCATTCTGCCAAAGGGGTCTCCAGCACCAAAAAAGCTACAAACACTTTTGAACTGGGACTAATTATGAGAAACTACAACAGGCTCTGTCCTGGTGGAGGCAAGCACATGTCTGGACAGCAAACAGAACAGAGCTGTCTTAACCTAGGTTCGGAAGGCTATAGGCTATAAAACAGATTTCCCCCTTGCCATGTGTACATGGGGCTAAGTGCACATGGAGGAATAATAATAATAATAATAATAATAATAATAACAACAACAACAACAAAAATATGTGCAGCTTCTGACAGTTTACCAAGCAACATTTCTAATTTACAGGTGAAGCAAATGAGTTTCAGAGAGTGACTTGCAGAGAGAGGTTTGCAGAGCTGGTAAGCCAGGTTGTGTACTTGAACCCAGGCCCTCAGGTTCCAAATTCTGTGGCTTGAGAAAACAGGCAAGGGGTTGTCTTGTCTGGAACAGGGAGGCCACTGGCAGCTGGTGAGATGGAAGGGAAGTGGGTGGGGGACCTGGAAGGTGGGGCCAGGCAAGGCCTCTGATGCAGGAGGCCCTGAGGCACCCGTTCAGGTTCTCCTGGAGGGGAGTGTGTTGGAATCCAGTTACCTGTGCCCTCCGATTGACTTCTGTAGGTGTGTTTAGTGACATGCTCAGCAAGTGTGAGAAGGTTGGGCTGGTGCCAAAGGCCAAGCCCAGAAATGTTTCAGATTTTTCCTTTATGCCCCTGCAACCAAGCCCTTCTGCTCCAGCACATATAAGAGACCCAGGCTAGAGCTGCGGCATTCACTGGCCTGGCCCCTCTTGCTTCTCTCTGACAACTCAGAGCTCACTCTCCTCTCTCCAGCCATGATCTCCAGACAGCAGGGTGTCCGAGGCGGATCCCAGGGCTTTAGCGGTAGCTCGGCTGTCGTAGGTGGGGTCAAGCGGGTTGCTTTCAGCTCGGCTTCCATGTCTGGGGGTGCAGGCCGTAGCTCCTCTGGGGGCTTTGGCAGCAGGAGCCTCTACAACCTCGGGGGAAACAAGAGCATCTCCATGAGCATGGCCGGATGCCGGCAAAGTGGTGGCTTTGGGGCTGGAGGAGGTTTTGGTGTTGGGGGAGGTTTTGGGGCTGGCAGCTTTGGTGCTGGTTTCGGTGCTGGCAGCTTTGGTGGTGGATTTGGGGGCTCATTTGGTGGACGGGGTGGTTCTGGCTTCCCTGTCTGCCCTGCTGGGGGGATTCAGGAGGTCACCATCAACCAGAGCCTGCTGACCCCACTCCATGTGGAGATCGACCCCGAGATCCAGAAGGTCCGAACTGAGGAGCGAGAGCAGATCAAGACCCTCAACAACAAGTTTGCCTCCTTCATCGACAAGGTGAGCATCCTCTTGGCCACATAAGGTGGCAGAAACCAGGGTTGCTAGAGTCCCAGCATCTCAGACCTGAGCCTGCCATGGGAAAACCACTGAACTACCTGGACCTCCATTTTCCAGCTGTTGAAGGGGGCGGGCGGTTAGTGTTCTGAGTTTCTTGTTTCCTGCTGGGTGGGCTGTCAAAGTAGTTCAATATTTGGAGTTTTCTAGATGTGCCATGTGATACGTGGAAAATCATTCAACTTTTCTGGGTCCAGTTGCCCCAGTGATTAAGCAGGTTCATTGTTACCCTGCTTTTTCTCAGATTTTGGTTTTAAAATAACACAGTTAATAATTTAATAATTAGCTAACAATTTATTATAGTTGATGTAATAATTTAACTGTTGGCACTTCTGTTGTAACAGAAGGAAACCAGGCTGGTTTGTCAAATAAAAAAGAGGCTTACTTTAGTGGCAGAATCTAGTTCCCCTCCTGAATCTGGGCAAAATTGCTTATCTGGGTCTGTTTAAAGAGATGAAGAGGATGGATCTCTCCTGGTCTTTTAGTAGTCCAACTTCCTTTTCCATACAAGGTTAGGGATTCAAGTCCTCAAACTCAATTATAGTCAAGTGTGATGGATGATAGCAAGCAGATTAGCCTCAGAGAGCTGAGGCATCCAATGACCAATGAATGAATGGATACAGGTAGCACCCTCAGTCAAGGATGCCCTGGGTCTCCATGCTTCAAAGACTAAGTCTGTTTAACTGTATGAGGCAAGAATGAACAATCTTGGAGTAGATTGAATGGGATTGTTTGCTCTTCTTGCTAGTTTGAATAAACCAATAGTAGCTTAAAGAGGCTTTTTTTTTTTTTTTTTTTTTTTTTTTTTTTTGCAATCCTAGGGCACATAGATATTTCAAGACCAAAGGTTTGGTGCTTGTTTCATCTAACCTTTTTGGTTCAAATTGTGATCAGTTGCCATTACCTGTTTTTATTTAAATTCTAAGCACATAAAGTGGAAATGCCATGCTAAGCTGCTACCTTGATTTATCTGGCTAGATCTTTTCATAGAAAAAGGGAAAGTTCTGGGAAGTCTTGCAGAACTGAATCTAGCTGAGACTCAGAATATGTCTAGGGCCTTGATCTTAGTTAAGTATACTCAGCTGTACACAAGTTCACAGGAACATACCAAGTGCATTTATGAGTAAGTGATTTTTAAAAAAATCTGCAATGAATTTATCATTCCTTTGCTATGGTCCTGAGTCACTTTGAATGCAATCACTCAGACTAGGGGTGTATTTCTTAATTTTACTTTACTTTATTTTACTTTATTTTATTATTTAATAGAGGTCAGTGTTCTTAGTAATTCATCCCAGGGCCCCTGGATACCTGTACAGGAAGTTGTTTCTTGCTGCATGGTCAAGCTCTGCTGCTCTGTCTATGCTCTGTTCTTCACAACCCACATGGCCCATTGGTTGCCAGGAGCTCACAAGTGGGGATCCACCCCACTGACCCAGTGTGTGGTTCCTGAAGTTGCAACATGATGGCCCTACTTGAATGGCTCTTGGGCCCCCTGGTTGACTTGGATTGAAGGGGTTGGCGTTGGCCATGGCCAACTCTCCTGTCAAATCTTCAGGCCCTCATTCTATACCTTTTTGAAACACAGGTGCGATTCTTAGAGCAACAGAATAAGGTCCTGGAAACCAAGTGGAACCTCCTCCAGCAGCAGACAACCACCACATCCACCAAAAACCTGGATCCCTTCTTTGAGGCCTACCTCAGTGCCCTTAGGAAGCAGCTGGATTCCTTGGTCAATGACAAAGGACGCCTGCAGTCTGAGCTGAAGACCATGCAGGACAGTGTGGAGGACTTTAAGACCAAGTACGTGGGGAAGAAAGGGGGATGCCAACTCACAAGTCTGCCCAGCTATGTCCCAGGCTTCCTGGGCTCCTCTTCAGTCATTTAGAAACCTAGGCTCTGAAGATATCCCAAAGGTGTCAAGCAGGTCCTCTAGTCTGCTCCCCTGTTTTGCCACAGTTACATTTTAATGGGGTAAGGCCTAGTAATCCTAAATTGCCCAAATATAAAATGAATGATACATTCAAAGAGCTGGACTTGCCATATACAAAGAAGATTAGAAATCAAACAGATGGAAAATACAATACCATGATAAAAAGATTATAGGTTGTAGAGACAGCTGGATTTGGATTAAATACTGAGTCTTTCACTGGCTGTATAATCTTGAGTAAGCTTCTTAACCTCTCTGAACCTTAGTTTCTTCATATTTAAATGGGGATAATAGCCCTACCTTATATGTTGAGAATTAAATAAAATTAAAAGAGGAAAAGAAAGCAGGTAGCAATGGACATATAATGAACATTCAATGCATAGTAGCTCTTATTATAATGCTGACTCATTATGGGATGCAGCTGAGAAGATACCAACATTCTCCCTCAGTTAACTATCACATGAAACAAAGATGACTTCTAGGGAAATAAGATCAAGCAAATCATTGCTGTTTCCCCTCCCCCCTCCTTCATATCTTATCTCTTGAAAACAGTCTTCTTAAAGTTTGGTTTTCACTTCTCTGAATAAAACGGGGTCTAGTCTGGTACATCATGCCTGGTCATTATTCAATAAATGTAGGTTGAATGAATATTTGTATGAACATGGGGAAATGTAGCCAATTAGCTGGATATTTCCAAACAGATGTTTGAAAGGAGTAGCAGGTTGCTGAGAAACACTAGCTCACTGTGGTGCATCTGTCTTTTCCTTTCTATCTCCATCCCAGGTATGAAGAGGAGATCAACAAGCGCACAGCTGCTGAGAATGACTTTGTGGTGCTTAAGAAGGTAGGGGATAAAGGTCACCTTTCCCTTGGGAGTGGTCTTTGGTGGGGTTGGTCTTTCTCTGCCTCATCTCCACCACATTTGATACTATCCAGATTTACCTGAACAGGGTCCTAAGAAATTAAGGCTGGGAAAAAACCCTGTTTAGATAATTAACATCCATATCTGCAGGAGGCTTTCGGGGCAGAATATGTTTAATGGCTTAGTTCCTCACTACCTCACCTGGTACTGAGAAGCCTTTCTGTGTCACCTAATATCTGCTGCCCCCGATTATAATTACTGCAGCGCGTCTCTTCTCCCCACTCTTCCTCTGTAGGATGTGGATGCTGCCTACATGACCAAGGTGGAGTTGGAGGCTAAGATGGATGCCCTTAATGATGAGATCAACTTCCTGAGGGCCCTCTATGCTGCGGTGAGGACTCCATTGACCCTTCTATTCAGGGAAGGGAATCCTCCATCTATGAGGCAGTTGGTTGGAATTCACAGTTCTTTGAAAGGACTCTAATTCTTTACTTCAAGGGGGTGGGTTCTCAACAAGGTCTTGGATAGAAAGGGGTGATGTGAGAGGTTCTCAAAACCAGATGTCTTAGAAGAGGTGATTAGATCTAAAGATTGCATGGGATAGAATTTATTGCCATTTAGCATTTCTCTAGTGAAACGCATTTGTTCCATTTTCTTTATGATAGTCCTTGGGGAGCAGTAAGGACTACAAACATTACTTTCCTATCTTGAAATGCCACAACCATTTGATTTATACATTGAAATTGCCCCCCCCCCCACCCCATTGGGAATGTTAACTCTGCTTCCATCTGAGCCTGTGGCATGGCCATTTCTGTGACGACAGCAGATTTCTGGTCTCAGATAAGGGAAGACTCTCCAGGTGGCTTAATGTGAGACATTTTCCCTGTAGGAGCTGTCCCAGATGCAGACCCATGTCAGTGACACTTCCGTGGTCCTTTCCATGGACAACAACCGCTGCCTGGACCTGGACAGCATCATCGCTGAAGTCAAGGCCCAATATGAGGAGATCGCTCAGAAGAGCAAGGCTGAGGCTGAGGCCCTGTACCAGAGCAAGGTGGGTCCTGAAGCTTTCTCAGAAGTTTGGAGTGGCTTCTGGGGCTTTGCTTTTGATGTCTGTGAGCAGATGATTATCAGCTTGAATCCAAGAGAAGTCAGAAATGAACTGATTCTTTGAGGTCTGATTTGTTTTGAATAAAACAAAAATGTGACATTTTTGTTTTATTCCTTCTACTTGTGGCAATTCTTGCTGGGATGACTTGAGAATAGACCCTACTCAGACACCTCTAACCCCTGGTTCCCTGTGTCTCTTGGGTCTTAGTTCCAGCAGCTCCAGACCTCAGTTGACCAATATGGTGACAATCTGAAGAACACCAAGAGTGAGATTGCAGAGCTCAACAGGATGATCCAGAGGCTGCGGTCTGAGATTGAGAACGTCAAAAAGCAGGCAAGTGTCACTTCCTTCTAGCTGTAGTACAGGGTTGGGGCCTAACAGATGTCTCCACAGGAGATAAGAAGGTAAGGCATACAGGCCAGAAAATCCTGAGCTTGTCTGCAGGGGATTTGTAGTTCTTTACATAAGTCATACCCAGATCTTTTCAGCAGTATCTTAGTTAACATGACATGCATCCCCAGGAAATTAGTTTTCTTGGCTCTTTTTCATTGGGTTTTGCTCTTTAACCAGTTTGGTGGGAGCATTGGTGGGCCCTGGTGGAGTGGATGAAATGTATAAGAAGGTGCATCAGGGAAGGTGGGGAGAAGGACAGACAAACACTGACATGTTAAGTCCAGCAAGCAGGAGAGGGGACAGATGTACATTTCTTGACAGCAGGATACTGACGATTGTCTGTCTCATGCCCTTGTCTACAGTGTCAGACTCTGCAGGCCTCCGTGGCTGATGCTGAGCAGCGTGGGGAGCTGGCCCTGAAAGATGCCTTCAGCAAGCGCACAGAGCTGGAGACTGCTCTGAAGAAGGCCAAGGAGGAGCTAACCCGGATGCTGCGGGAGTATCAGGAGCTCATGAGTGTGAAGCTGGCCCTGGACATTGAGATCGCCACCTACCGCAAGCTGCTGGAGGGCGAGGAGTGCAGGTGAGGGGAGGAAAGCAGGGCAGGAACATGGGGAATTGAGAGATCTGGGGTCATGGCAGGTCCGGGGCACTTCTGTGGGGCCACCTGCTTCAATGCTGCTCTGGTGCATTATAAGCAAGTACACTATTAGATAACAGGTTCATAGCCAGGCCTTATGTTTGTCTGCTTAACAATGGGAAAGGTGCTCGACACCTGGTTATTGAATGAAGTGTGGCTATAGGCTCTGCTGTGACTCACTGCTCTTTATCTCTCCCACAGAATGTCTGGAGAATGCCAGAATGCTGTGAGCATCTGTAAGTACCTTCGGTCCCTGCCAAGCCCATTGGTTTACCCTGGTTTGAGCTGCAATTCTTGGTTGCCCATACTGTTGGAATAACCATGTCCTTTGCTTCTATTCCACAGCTGTGGTTGGTGGTGCTGTCAGCGCAGGAGGCATTGGTGGAGGAATAGGAAGCTGCTCTGGATTTGGCCTGGGCGGAGGCTTTGGCTCTGGCTCTGGAAGTGGCTATGGGTTTGGTGGTTCCAGCAAGATCATCTCTTCCACCACCTTGACCAAGAGATCCCACCGATAGAGGAGATGAGATGCCTGCAGCTTCCTGAGCCCAGCTGGGCCCAGTCTTGGTGTCTCTGTGCTTCCTTCACCTCCGCCTCCACGCTACCTTTCTGGGACTCATCTCACCAGTGTCATCTCAGTGCCGGAGTGTGGACTCTGCCCTTTTGGAGTTTGGTAATTTCTTCTCAATGTGGACTTGGTGACTTACCTGTAATGGGAAGGTTGTCAGCTGACTCTTCACCCACATGGACAGAGGAGAACAAAACTACACGCTTCATCTTCAGAATAATTGGGATCATATTCGTGCCCTCCCAGCCCAGTGCCATCTCCTACCAGATCCCAGATATCTCTCTACATCAGGACCAACTCCTTCTCTATCACTTGGCAGCAACTGACCCTGCAAGGTCAGGACAAGAACCACTCAGTGTCCCATCTAACTCTTCTCCTTCCTTCTATCCATCTATGGGTGAATTTTCAATAAAATGCTTTTGTCATTCACTCTGAGCAATTGTTCTTCATTAGGAAGAAGTCGTCTGAATTCAGGTGAAAGTGAAGGAAGTTGAGGCTTGAGGGCTCTGTCTGTGTAGATCAAGGTCATCAGTTAATTTTTCAGGTCTTTTTTAAAAAATACTCAGATTATTGAGGGAGAAGTGTGTGGAGCCTGAAGGCTGCATCTGGAATAGAGACATAAACTCAAAACAATCAACAATTATACGAAGATAAACCATTGTAAGGAATGAGGGTCAGGCCATCTCAGTACTGAGCCAGCAGTGAACCTGGAGGGAAGGGGTCCAAGTCTTGGAGGTGTGGGGTGTAGGAATGGTACCAAGAAAAGCCATCAGGAGTCTCTATTGAATATGGAATAATTGGATATTTATACCCAGAGTCTACCTAGCAAGGCCTCCCTAGTTACAAAATTCCATGTGTGGGCCTAAATCTCACCAGACCAGCAAGGCTTTCAGAAACTTGTTCTAAGAATCAACATGGTCATGGTTGTTGGATGGAGGAATGAAAGCTTGTCCTCTTCACCAAGCTTTTGTGATATGCCCACTTCCCCAGCTTCTCAGGCGACTGTGTAATGATGCAAGAGTCAGGGAAGTGAGCAATAGAGGGTGAAGCTGCCTGAGGGGCCAACCCTGGGAGATTCCTGTTGGTAAAAGGAAGAATGGGGGTCAGGGCACTCAGAGGTGAAGGTTTGGGCATTGCCTTTGTGGACACCCTGTTTCTATACTGGACCAATTCCAGGATACCTGGAGCAGCATAATCTTCCCTTCACTAGAGAAAGACTATGTGCAGTCTGACACTCATTTCCTTGGCTACCCAATTGGTGCCTCACACCTTTGACTTTTGGGGTGTTCATTCAGACTCCAATCCCTCCAGCGTAGTGCCCAAGGGTCCCTGATTGTGTGCACATAGAAGGCACACAGTTTGCTCAGGGCCAGTCCTTGCTCAAGGGGTCTTCACACAGACCTGGAGGTAGGCTCAGGGCAGCAGGGGTGGAGCAGCAAAGAGTTAATCTGGGCTCCCTGGGCTGAAGCCTTTTGCCAGGAGCAGCCACTCCCTGGGCAGGACTTCTTGGTTCTTCAAAAACCCTGCCCTAATCTCCCCATTGTCTCAGGGGTTCACCCCAAGTGTCAGAACAAGAAGTCTTTGACTTCTTCCCACCACTGCACCCCTCTCCTGGAAAAATGCTGAACTGGCTCTTTTCTGAGTTTCTGGGGTGCCTATGAGGGGAGGAGTCAGGGATTGGAACAAAGGGAGAAGGTTCTCAAGTTCACCCACCAGGAAGTTGCAGGTTGTGATGGAACGCACTGAGAGGTCAGGGGTGGTGGTGGTGGTAGCTGTTGGGCAGATTAATGAATTAGTCATGTCCTCTGAGCAAGCGTAGAATGAGAGAAACCACCCTGGTGCCACTGCTGGTCTAGGTTTTATATTTGTAGGTATGTGGCTATGTGAGTGTTTTTTATTTATTTATAGAAGAAGATTCCTATCTTACAAAAAAGAGAAATAACATTCATGTTGTTCTCTATTTCCAGAACAGTCCAAGGCAGTGGATCCTGGTCATGAGCCATGGATTTGAAGCTGGGTGGCTAATTGAAGGGAATTATTTGGGGAGAAAATCCATATTTGAGATAATTGGTGCCTCCTTTCCCTAAGACCCCTTAAATTGAATTCTGGCCAGCTCTTTGTGTTCAGGGGAACTATAGAGACATTACCTGCCCCTTGGGAGCTCTCTGCCCCCCACTCCCCATTCCCTGGCCCTTCCCCACCTCTCTCCCGCCAATGCTTTACCTAGATGTATAGTTAAATCACTTATCACATCATAATGTGAGTTGGGAAATCTTTAACTCAATTTATTTGATTCATCTACCCTGACTCCTGCTCTTCAAGCTCTTAACTTCTAATCATGGCTGAAACCTCATCCTTGGTTTGGCTTAGGCTCTGAGCTCCCAAGCAATGATCACATTTGCATAGGTCCCTCTGCCTTTACCAAAACCCTCTGATCTGGGTCCCACCCTCTCAGTTTCAGTAAATTGTCCCTCTCTTGCTGTTAGTAAAACCAGAAGGTGATAGCAAAGAGGAGTTTATTAGTGTTGTCCTACTGTGGGATTTTGGTTTAGCTTGCTGTTGGGACCCAGGTTTTGGATTCTAAAACCTTGGAATATGTCCATTTTTATTTCTTGGGTGGATGGTCAGGGTCTAGCTACCTGAGGAAATAACTGAGGGAGTTGTTCTCTCTTTGTGACCCTCCAAGGCATGATACTAGGGGGCCAGCCCAGAACAAAGGGGGCTTCATGCAGGAGGTGGCATTAAGGACACGTAAGCCTGGGTGCTAGAGGTGGAGAAAAGTGATGTGACAGAGAGCAGGATTCTATTTTATTTTTCAATTATAGTTTACATTCAATATGATTATTATTATTTTAAAATATTTTTATTGATTTCAGAGAGGAAGGGAGAGGGAAAGAGAGAAAAACATCAATGATGAGAGAGAATCATTGATCAGCTACCTCCTGCACACTCTACAATGGGGATCAAACCTGGACCTCCTGCACACTCCAAACTGGGGATTGAGCCCACAATCCGGGCATATGCCCTGACTGGGAATTGAACCATGACCTCCTGATTCATAGGTCAACGCTCAACCACTGGGCCACACCGGCCAGGCTATATTCAATATTACTGAAAACAGGCTTCTAATTTCCTCTAAGGGGAAGTCCTTTTTTTCTAGGAAGCTTCCCTGAGTGGCTCCGCCTTTTTGACTCACCCTGTTGCTCAGCCACCCACAGGCCTCTTCAGGCCTCATTCTGATCACTCTTCCTTCCCTGTGAGGTATCTGTAGTGTTTCCTTCGTAAGAATGGGAGTTCCCTTGTCTGCAAATCCACCAAAAGTTTCAGCTCAACAAGCATCACACTGGAGTCCTCACCCTTGAGGAGGACATAGTTCTATGTGAATACTAGAGGCCTGGTGCACAAAATTTGGGCATGGGGGTGCGGTCCCCTCAGCCTAGCCTGCATCTTCTCCAATCTGGGACCACGCAATCCTGGATCACTGGCTTCTAATTGTTTACCTGCCTGCCTGCTTGGTCACCCCTAACTGTCACCCCCCCCCCCCCCCCCCCCGTTAGCCTGATCACCCCTCACTGCCTCTGGGTGCCAGCCTGATCAACCCTAACTGCCCCCTTCAGCCGTCCTGGTCACCCCTAACTGCCCCTCCCACCAGTCTAGTCGCCTCTTACTGCCCCCCCCCCACTAGCTTGGTTGCTCCCAACTGGCCCCTCCTGCCAATCTGGTTGCCCCACACAGCCTGCTATTCAGTCATTTGATGGTCCCTCACAAACCCTCTGTTGACCTGGTCATAGGTAGCCATCTTGTGAGGGTGTGAGGGTTAATTTGCATATTATATCTTTATTACATAGCATGTGTGCATGGGTATGGGGAGCACTGGGGAAGCAGACATTAAATATAGATTTTGCCTACCTTCAGGAAAGAGAGTGATGGTAGATATAAATACTGAAGCTCTGTCACACCAAGGGAGAAGCATTTACTTTTGCCTAGGGATTCAAGGAAGGTTCTCTGGAGAGGCAACACCTCTGATAAATCTTGAAGCCTGAGAGGGAGTCATCCAGATGAAAGAGGCATAGACTTGGAGTTGAGGTGAGAGATGCAGGTGTGCAGGGGAGAAGGGTGCCCTAGACAGCATGAATACCAGAGTAAAGGCAGGGAAGTATGGCCTAGCACAGTATATCTATGAACCCAAAGGAACTTAGCATCCCTCAAGACAAAGAGCAGGAAGTGGTGGGAGGGGAGGCTGAAGAGGGCTAGGACACACTTGGAAGACCATTCATTTGGGGCTGGGCTTCAAGTGCCAAGACTGAATAAGCTGAGGACAAAGCATGTGTGAGAGAACAAGCTCTGAAAGAGATGAAGAGGGGACTCGGGGTCACCTGCTTTCAGGATGTGGCCTTTAGGTCCATGATGGGCTTTGGACTCATATCTGGGAACTGCCCCTGCACCTCACTCCTCTTCTATGGAGCAGTAATGCTGAGTCTTGCAGCTGCTTTACTCTGTTCCTTTCTTGTTTACTATGAGAGATGTTCTCAGGGACTAGGAGATATATTGCCATTTTTTTGGTCTGGAAGAATCATCTCCCTCAGAATGACATACAACCCTTCAATAATTGTTGCCTACCTTCCATGGGCGAGGAGCTGTGAATCGCTGTCTCTAAATCTCCCTAGATTACTTACACAGTATCTCATGGTCATCTTATTTTCTACCATGACCACACCCTCTGCTTTAAGTCCAAGTGGAATCCCTTAGATTCTCCAGTGGAGGGAGTGAGATCTTTGCTTTTCAAACCATTGCACAGTAAAATTAATGTATATTTCCTCTTAACGTTCTCTTCCCGAGATCAAATGATCACCTAATTCTCCCCCCCCTTACCTTTTGTCTCAAGTGACTTATTTAATAACTCCCTGTCATTAAACCTCGCAATGAGGAAAAGATGAACTTTCTGCTACTACAATCACTGGCTTGAGGAGGCACAACAGACAGATAGGATTCAGCACAACGATGGGGTGAGCTCCTGGCCACAGAGGAAACTTAAATAAATAAAGGCTTCCTCTGGGCAAGCTTCACCTTCTGTTTTGTTTCCTTGTTTATCTTTTCTGCAGTGCCCTGTGGCTGCTGTTTCTTCTTACAGCAGGAAGTGGAAGTGAGTTGCTTGAAACTGGAAGGCAAGTGTTTGTCCTAGAAGATAAGGAAGGTGGTGTAGTCTCCACACATTCTCCCCTGACTCCTGTGATCAAACGTCCACACAGCAGCTAGTTCTATCTATCTATCTATCTATCTATCTATCTATCTATCTATCTATCTATCATCTATCTATCTATTTTACTTTTAAAAATGTACTCTATACAAAAAACCCCAGTTCATATGGAAAGAAATCTACAGACATCTGAGGATCAAAACATTCTTTTAAAAAATTATCCAAGCCTGGC